TGTTCATCCAATCCAGAGTATTTATTATGTTCCGGGACCATCATTTTTTAGGTGGTTTCCTAATATAAATGAGAGAGTAAAATTAGAAAAGAGAAAAAATAGTAAGAATAAAAAGGGAAAGAAAAAATTGTTGTTGTGAGAGGGAGCACTAAGTTATTAGGTGGTCCTGGACCAAAGAAAATATTTCTAATCCAATCATGCGCGCGAAAACCAACTACTCTTTTCATCAGATTCCACGTACTTCACTATGTGTGGGTTGGTGAAATGCATACAGTAGAGAAATTATTTTTTAATTATAGGTCCATTTTTTCTGCAGTTAATGCAGATGATATTTTTTTTTTTGCAGCAGACACTGAAAAAGTGAAACCTATTCGTTAAAAAAAAAAAAACAGAATCTATCGGCGTATATTGACTTTTCTATATGTTGTTGCAGATTTTTTTTTCCAGCAGCAGAGCTATAATTCCCTTTAACTATTATATATTTTCATTACTTTATAGTTTGAAGAGGTTTCAGCGGTGACTGAGATTATCTCCCTCACAATCAACATTTCAAAATTTTTAATGGCATGCAATTGATGAGAAAATAAGAAGTGACAATAGTAGTGAGTGTGCTTTCCTTGCTGACAAGACTGACAGTTTAAAGACTAAAGACTGGACAAAAAAGGAACCATATGCTGAAGCTTGCTGAGACTTGGATGACCCAGACGACTGTGGATTAGTTCTGGAGACTCCGTGAGAGAGCACGCCACTAGAGAAAGAGGCACGGTTAGATAGTAGAGACCTCGTGACTCATGGCCCACTATAATCATCTTCCCAGTACCTGGATCCTACATAGAGAAAGATTGATCAGAGAAGCTAACAGTGCATGAAAGAGAATGAATCAATTGGCTAACAGAGATTAAATTAAAGGGAATACCAGGTATATAATAAAGAGATGTCGAAGTCAAAAAAGGAGTTGGGTTGGCTTGCCAAATACCATGAGCAGGGGCCTTGACGCCATCCGTAAGAGTAACAGAAGGTAGATTATTAGAATAAGGAAGTGAAGTAAAGAGATCCTTATTACCACAAAGGTGATCAGTATAGCACCCGAGTCTATTATCCAAGGTCCAAGAAATGATTGAGAAAGACAAGCAATATGATTACCAGTATCTTGGGCAGGAGTCTAGGAAGAAACCTTGCTAAGAAGATCCTCATAGTCTGCACTCAAAATAGTTAGTGATCCAGTAGAATGTGGCGCAGCATCGATATGAGAAAAGTTGGCAGTTAGTAGCTTCAAGTGAGGGAAGTTGAATCAGTGGCTGGCACATATGTGGATGCTATTTTATCCTTAAGGTTAAGGAGGCGCTGAAATTCTATGACAGGCTAGGAGTCCCAATACTAGTTAGAATATATATTCTCACGAACATTTTCTAACTCCTCTGGAAGGCCAGATAGGGTTACAACCATAAAGAAGAGCTTCACCTGCTTCTTGTACTTAGAAGCATCTGCAAGATGAGGCAACATAGCTAAAAATTCCTGCATCAAAGAACGAACCTTACCAATATAAGCCTCCATTCGAGCATCTGGTGTTTTTCGCAATTCCATTGTATGAGAAACAATGAAATAAAGCTGCTGAATGTCACTGGTGTAGAGACTTTTAGCTTCCTTCCATACGTCATAATAGGTCTAAAAGGGAATGAAAATATCTATAACTGCTGGATCAATGGATTGCTAAAGGATACTCAACAGTTGGGCATCAATCTTTTCCCAATCAGATTTATGATCTTTAGGAATATCAGCAGACTTGGTCGAGAGATGTTTCCCGTGTCCCTGACCAATAAACCAAATCTTAACGGAGTTAGACCAAGTCTTGTAAATAGCAAATCCAGTTGGTTTCATTGTTGTAGTGGATGAGACAGTACCGGAGATAACGCCGGTAGCATTTTTTATCACATTACTTGAGCCCTCTATCACAAATCAGATGTGACAACCTGCAAAAATAAAAAATAAGACTAGAGAACAACAAAGACGCAAGAAATCACGCTAAAACGTTGCAAAAAAGTGTCCAAACAATGAGTTTTTTGTCGATATCTTCCTAACGAATGGGACCCACAACGAACGGAGACTATATCTGGAAAGAGGAAGAGAAGGCGATCAATATGGTGGTGGTTCGGCCTGAAACGGTGGCCGGACGCTCTCTTACGCGCTGAAAAAGTGAAGACGGCGTCAGAAACTTCCACTGACACGTGGCGGTGCGTCCCAGCTCTTATGGCACCGCCACTTGGACAGTGGTAGGCCCCTCCCAAGGCAGTACTGATCGTGTGGTTGGTTTTTAGAAAAATCACCAGAAAAGTGCTCTGGTGGCGGTGAACAGTGGCAGACGGTGTTTTTCTGGTGATGAACAATGGTTGACGATCATTTCTGATGATCCGAGTGTCAGGTATTGAAGGTAGGTTGTCAGTATGATGCTCGACACGGATGGCTTGCCGAATGATGCACGACAAGGGTTTTCTGCGAAAACAAGGTTTCCCAGAATAAAAGCTCAGGTACCAACTTGAGAATATGAATGTATTGCATTGTATTGAATTGTATGAATAAGTCTACAAGAGCTCTCTATTTAAAGAGACTAAGAGCTTATTTGGATGAGCTTTTTTCTCTCCAAAAATTGCTTTTTTTAAAGAAAAAAAAAGCACTTCTCACTTTAAGTTCGTTTGGATGTCTGCTTACTTCTAAAAAAATCAAAAACTTACTCTTTTTAGAAGATAAAAATTTTAACTTCTAAAAAAAGGAGAAGTCAAAAGCCAAATATTTTTTTCAAAAACTAAAATATTTTTATAAAAATATAAATAACTTTAACTTTTGTAAAAAAACATCTCTAAATTAAAGAAGAGATAAAGGTTATTTTTTCTATAAACCCAAACAAACGGGCTGCAAATGACCTAATGAGCTAAGCCCAAAGAAACTTCTAGAATAATCTAAATAATACAACACTAATCTTAATGAAGAATATAATACTAACCTAGATAATACAATATTACTTCTAACAGTCGCTTCCATAATCCTTGGGTGTTTAAAAATATATTTTTTATACAGTAAAATTTCTTTGAAATTAAAATTATTAGGTGAAGGTATATGAATAATTTTATATTATATATATATATATATATATATATATATATATATATATATATATATATATATATATATATATAGAGGTAGGATCCTTTGACACCAGTGTCAAATTTCAAATTTGACACCTCATCTAAGATATATATATGAGGTGGGATCCTTTGATACCGGTGTCAAATTTTAATTTTGACACCTTATCTGAGAGCCGTTAGATCAAAAAAGATCAATGACTCTGATTCGCAAGCATGTGACACCATTGATCTTTTTTGATGAAGTGTCAAAATTGAAATTTGACACCGGTGTCAAAGGATCCTACCTTTATATATATATATATATATATAGAGGCATGATCCTTTGACATCGGTGTCAAAGAAAAAGTTTGACACCTCATATGAAAACCATTAGATTAAAAAAATCAATGGTGTCACATGTTTACAAATCAGAATCGTTGATTTTTTCTAATCTAACGGTTCTCAGATGAGGTGTCAAACTTTTTCTTTGACACCGGTATCAAAAGATCCTGCCTCATATATATATATATATATATATATATATATATATATATATATATATATATATATATATATATATCCAACATGCACTTTTATGTAAGAGGCCATTAACTTGAAGGGATGCCGGAAAAGATCAAACTCTATAGTCTATATTACTGGTCATAGAAACTATGATATCATGTCATGCTACTAACATGAGTAAGTATTCTATCTTTAACATTTTGCTTCTAATTAGGTTATTCTTTATTTGAAAAATATTTTTACTTACATCCTAATTTTCTTCATTAATTAACAAAAATATAGTAATTTTGTTTTTTGAATTATAGGATCGAACTCGAATTTGAGACTTTTAGTCAAGGGAAGCATGCTCCTTTCAATTTGAACCGATGATTTTTGATCAAATATATATAGTAATGTTTATTGACAAAGAATCTAATGCTCAAATTAGGTAACAGACTGCATTCTGCAATGAATCCAGAACCAAAAGAAAATTTGCTTGAGATAGTATTTTCGATTTCATAATTGATTAATGGTTTGTCTTTGTTTCATATATTCCATCTTAACTTTTTCCATATCAGTTATCCAAATCAGATTATTTAATAGTTCAATATAATATTATCTTTTTTTCGGCTCATCATATTCTAACTCAAGCACTGTTATGAAGATAACAGAATTTAATATTAATATTAAAGATGTCTAGGGCCTCCTCAAATGAAAGGCTACCCCGTAACCCTCTTCTTCCATGGTGTTTCAATATATCGTGTGTAGGTTTTAATAATCGATTGCAGTGGCCTGCAACTATTATCAAATCTACTTGGTTATGATCTCAAATTAGATTAGATCGATTTTAATTAATATATACAATATTGATTTTTATTTTTGCAGGCTCCATAATTTTAGATATTTTTCTCACGCCCACATATCAGGATTTGTTACTTGATGGTATGATTAATAGGGTGTGTAGCAATGTTCCTATCATAAGAATCTCATTATGCTCTGCTACGGATGGTTCTGCTTCGATCTTTTATTTCATCTAATCTTTAATAAATTAGTAATTGGAGTAATTTATTTCGCTATGTACTCCAATTTTTATCAAACAAAAGATATTTTGCATTCGTGGGCCTCTAATACATCATAATTATCTGTCTAACCTGGAAAATATCCATTTCTGTTTGCAGCAAGTTGATATTGTGGAACCATTTTCATTCATTTCCGGCCACCTCACAATAGACAATGACATTCCCATTAAATTCATCTTCAACACAAAGGAAAGGAAAAAAGAATCGAAAAGAAAAAATCAAATATAAGAAAGAAAGAAAGAAAAGGATTTCATTTTTTTAAACTATCCATATTACAGATGATAAGACAAAATTATTGGGAAAATTTTTACAATTGCACGCAATAAATTTCTGTTCATCGTTTTCTAGCTCATATACATGAATTTTCAGGGACCTATCCCCTGTCCATAATAATAAAGAAACAAGCGAAATTTACATAGCCTAAAGTTCCACTAGATAACCTAGAGACTTGGAAGTTCTAATAGAGCTATATGTGATCAAGCCCTGAAGCAGCCAACGAGGTGGTGGTGGTGTTGTTGTTGTTGTTGGAGTGACCTGTCCCTATCAATCATGTGTTGAACATGCTTAAACTCCTGCACTTGACAAGGTATAATTATGGTTCCCTGCTGAGCAAAACCATACTCTTCCTCCGCCTCCTTCAACAGCTGAGAAAACAGTGGGTGGTTGAGGTAACTCACGGGCACCGTTATTCTCTGTTGCTCTTCGCCTTGACCAACCTTGATTGCCATGCACCCTTTTGGTATATCTTTGGTAATGACTTCTTTTCCATGGTGGTGGTGATGGTGATGATATGTCACCGCAACTTGTCTAAAGCTTTTGCCCAACATCATAAGTAAAGACACAAGCCAAGCCCCAAAATTTCTAGATCATCAGAATGATTTGTTAGAAAAACAAAGGGGAAGAAAAAGAAAAAACAAACAAGCAAACAAACAAACCAAGAAGCAGATAGAAGACGGCTAGGTAGAGAAGGTAGGAATGAATGGATATGTAGAAGCGTTTTTATTGCAAGTGATGAATAGGAATCAACTCCGAACATAACAAAGAAGAAAAGGTAATTACGAATAAGACGGCTGAGTAAGAGAAAAAGAGTCAACTGAGGTGAGGTGAGGTGGGGGAGGGTGGATTTGGTCACTCGGAATAATTCATTGGTAAAACTAAGTCGACCATTTAATTTTACGCACAATGACAAGTGGGACTCTGATATTAGAAGCTAAGGAGAGAGAGGAGAAAGGATAATTGTTAATGATTAATGATATTTGACTTAAATTGTATCAGATGATATTTTTTAATTTAATTTAACAGTATTTAAAGGGCTTTTTCACCCTTTTGCCCCTTATTAATTAATTAATAACTATTTTGCCCCTGATTCGAAACTATCTACCAATCTGCCCCTCTTTAATCGATTACCTTGCATTTTTAATCGACTAAACGGTTGTTGGGAGATTTAGTGCCTGTTTGGATCCTCTTATTTTTAAGCTAGAAGCTACTTATAAGCATAAGCTAGGCCAAACAGATTTTGAGAAAAGCTCTTATAACGAAAAACTCTTTTTTTATAATAAAGAAAAAAAAGCTGAAAATTAAAAGCTCCTAGAAGGAGCTTTTTTTTAAGCTCTTATATGTTTTTCTTGAATTGTGTGCTTTTTTTTTAAATGAAGAGTGATAAAGATAGAGAGAAAGATAATTTTCTTGAATTTTGTGCTTTTAAGTAATTTTTAAGCTAAAACTTTTATGTAATTTCCAAACAGCTTTTAGCTTATTTTTTTAAGCTTTAGCTTATAAGTAGCTTCTAGCTTAAAAATAAGAGGATCCAAACAGGCTCTTAATCGACTAAATCTCCCTACTTAATCGATTAAAATCATACTGACTTATTTATTTTTTGTCAAATATGAAGATTTAGTCGACTAAATAGGGAGATTTAGTCGACTAAATCTCCCAGCAGCCATTTTTTTGTCTGTTTTGGCCATTTGGTCGATTAAAAATGCAAGGTAGTCGACTAAAGAGGGGCAGATTGATAAATAGTTTCGAATCAGAGACAAAATAATTATTAATTAATTAATAAGGAACAAAAGGGTGAAAAAGCCGTATTTAAAGACCATGTTGTTCAATATTGTATATTTTTAATGGGCTTGGTGCAATGCTTTAGAAGTTTATATAAGAAGTTCTCACAGTTTAGATGGCCTTAAAAAATATTATATAATCTTTACAAAAAAAAAATTATATAATTGACAAGCTATTAAAGCTCAGTTAATTTCAGCTTAGCAAAAAAAAAAAAAGCTCAGTTAATACTTTTTAATGAAAAATTATTATTGAAAATTTAATTTTTTTAGGAATTTATTTTTTTAAAAAGGTGATATTAAGTCAACATATTGTTGTATTTTAGCAGCCCTTTAAAAAGTTAAAAGTTAACAAGTTTTGGTAGCCCAGTTAACCTCTTCTATTGGTAAAAAATGTGATTTTCAATTTTTTTTTTAAAATTGATAGAAGATTTACAATAAAAAAATAAGGGTAAAGTGTGTATCATTTTAAAGGATGTAAAGTATGTCATTTAAGAAAGAGAAAGAAATAAATAAAGGAGGAAAGAGAGTTGACAAAAAAAAATAAAGGTGTGAGTCCCACTTTTTTGTGAGAGTGAAAGAATATAAATTGTGTCATTTAAAAGGATAAACACTTTTTCCAAAAAATAAATAGAACAAAGACGCTTGATAGAAAATAAATTAATCCGTCAAACAAGTAGATAAAGAAATAAATTATATTCTAATTAATTCAACAAGAGAAACTCAAAAATATTTTATTAATATTATTTTATTTTTATAATCTCATATTATTTAACATTATTTTATGTATTTATATTTTTTAATTATTTCAAAGAAATCATTTTCAATATTATCTTTCCCCCTTTTATTTTTAAGGATAAACCTGCGCCCTTTTTATTTTAAAAGACAAACATGTACTAATAAATGAGCCCAGATGTATTAACTTAACAGTTAAACCTAGCCCAAGATACCGTAGCAACCCAAATGAACATAAAATCTAAAAACACATGGTCCAGAAATTTCCTACAGCCCCAAACAAAAAAAGAAAGAAAGAAAGAAACATAAAAGATGGGGGCGTGTTCTTTGTGCTTTACGGACACTTTTCTTTTATTTTTTTCGACCAGAGACCAAAGGCAAGAGCTTAGAGGAGATTGAAAATGAGGCATACTAATTATATCTTAACTGTCTAATAAAAATGGGAATTTTAATATGGTGTAGGACCACCGTAGTCCTTCCGAAATTAATACATGGATTTTTTTTTTCTCCTTTGTCTCTCTTCAATTTTTTCTCTTTTTCTCTCACCAATTTTTTCTTGGTTCTGGAGCACAGAAAATCAGCTCATAAAAATGTGGTGCTCTTATTGAAACACTGGTAGTATATTTGTGTATAACGAGAAAATGGTGGTGTTGTCGGAGAGATTGGCACATAAATGCAATTTTTGAATTTATTTTATTGTTTCGCTTGCTAAGGCTCGTAATTGGATGACATATTACTGGGTAGCGCACAACACAATTCTACCCATTTCAGGCCATCTATGCCAATCTAAGCCTTAAAACGAAAATTTCAAAGCCGAATTATACAATTGAAAAATGCCAACATTCATGCTCTTAAACTTTCTACTTCAGCAAACAGTTATCCATTAAAAGTCGAATTGTATACTTTCATTGCCACTTTCCTACTACAGGTGGCCCCATTTTATCCATACGTAAAAAATTACTAATGAATTCTCATTACCACCACCTGACACATTTGTCAAGCTTTAAAGTCTGATCCCAACATTATAAACCTCCGGTTTTCATATATTTTTGGCCACACGTAGATTGTCCAAATGCTCATGAAGTAGACAGAGACTTTAACTTGTTCAGAAAATGTGGAAGAAATAATAAATAAACTTTTTTCTTATTGAAACATGTCGCAAACAAGGTAAGCAAAAAACTTAAAATGTCAAGTAAATACACATAAATAATATTATATTTCTTACACGTTGTTCACGTAAGAACCTTTTAAATTTGAAATGTGAATATTTAAATAGATTCTCGTAGACTATTTGTTCATATAAATTCTAATACTATATTATTAACTTACTATTACAAAAACTTAAACGGTTAATATAAGATACATAAATAATTTTATGTTAAATCATTTTAGTAGTTATAGATATACATAGTGGTGGCAAAGTGGGGGCTCACATTATTAATCAGTCAAAACGTAAGTCAGCTCACCTTGTCCCGTTTTTTGAAAACGGGCCGAAAAACACAGCCCGCCCCTCTCCGTATGGTGGGCGGGATGGGTTGATTCACCAGCCCAAACCTGTTTTACATCGACCTGCCTCGCCCTGCCCTGTCATCAACCTGACAAAAAATGAGTCAGTCCGCCCCATCCCATTTTGCCCCGCTTTTTAGAGTGGGCTGTAAAACTCAGCCAACTCTGACCGGCAATGGCAGACTTGCTTGGAGGCCACTGTTCGCAAGTGCAGATATAAACCCGTTGGAATTTTTTTTTAAGCATAACAGTGAAGCATGATGTTGATTAAATTAGGTTTTGTTTGGATATATAATGACGGGTGGAATGGAAAGGAATAGAATATGATGAGATAGAATGGAATGCCATATATTTTATTGGATATTTTATGATGTCATACATCAAGTTAGCTTGATTAAAAAAAAGTGTGGGAAATAATTTTTTATTTTAAGTTGAAGTTTTCTTTTAATTTCTTATTTACATTTTTTTTAATATATTTAAAATTTTCTTTAAAAAAAATTCAGAGGCGCTGCCCTGCCCGAACCCCTGAACTCCCGCATTAAATGTGCGGACATAAATAATATTTTCTGAGTTCATCAACTGATATAACGGGTGAGGAGGGTCGATCCGCCAAACCAAACTCGTTTTGGTGGCCTAGATATACGGTCGTTTTCAAGGATATAAAAATGTCCTTCCCTCATTGGAAGCAATACGCGATGATGATCCACCCAAATCAATATGTCCATACAATGTTTTTATGTTGTTTAGAATTATACAAGGAAACGAGGAGAATCAAATTACATGTTTCCTTTCTTGCTGCTTCAATAAAAAAAAGTTATTGAAGAGGTTTAAATAGCCAACAGAAGAAGAAGAAGAAAATGACCAGTTTGTGAATATCCCATGGACACACAATAATTTAATATTAGGAAAATATATTCGGTACTTACGGGATACTATATACTCGATATATCATGTATTAATATTGAAAAAAGTAATCTAACTGACTTTACTTATCCTATCCACCCTTTTATTATTAATACCACCGAAATGTCACTTTGTTCATATTTTTGGTAAGAAAAAAAACTTACTCCTAAAATACCGAATAGATGCTTTAATGTCATACTTGAAGCCCCACTCCCAAGTAGGAGTGTCAAGTTGTATTCACACGATATGAATATGTTAAAATGAATATGACATGAAATTTTTTTTGTGTCAAAAACTTCAAGATAAACATGATACGTAAATTTTGTGGATTGGCACGAAACACAAATAACACATAAATTAGGGATAAAACGGTAATTGACATTTTTTTAAAAAATGATCAAATTTACAAAAAAAATATAGGTCGAATTCGTGTTGACACGCGACATGACACGAATTTTTTTTAGGGTCATAATTTCCCAACACGAACACGATATGAATTTTTTTGCTGGTAAATCCGAACACAAATTTTTATGTCGTGTTACGGGTTGACTCTCGTGTCATAACCTGTTTTGACATCCCTACTCGTAGAGGAGTTATGTAAGTAAAATAATTCCATAAAATTGATATTTTATGTTATGAAACATACAATGCTTTTTAATACAAGAAGGAATTGAATACCTAATCTAATACAACCTGCCAAATTCTTCTGTACTAAATTAATTCTAGTGGCTTGTTATGAAACATATATTTAAATATAGGGAAAATGATCTCTGCTTTTAAATGACATAATTTTGTGTCTTTTTAAATTAAACGTAATATTTCATTATAATATTTAGTTAACTAAAAAATAAATAAAAAGTAAATTGTGATAAAATAAAAAATATTTAATAAAATATAATAGTCAAATATTATAATTTTATTTAAAATAACACAAAATTATGTCATTTAAAATGATAAAAAATATCCTATTAGATATATTATAAATTATATCTATTTTTTTAAATCCTAAACAAAATTGTATTATAAACAACTTTTTATGTTACTCTTAAGTACTAAGGCAACAAATTACGTCCCACGAATCAAGAGCAGTCTAAAACAAAAATCAGATGGACACCTGTAAAGAGAAACTTGTCCCTAAAATATTAGACTCTCAGTAAGTTACGTTATTCGATTACATTACGAAGTTCCTTCCACGTCACGTGAGAGAAACTCTAAACTCAATAAGAAAAAGACAATGTAACGAGATATATGTTTTGACGTCGGATATGTGGCAACATAGCATTCGTTGAGTGTGACATTTGACATATTCGTGTTCCTCCTGAACTTATCTATTGGAGATAAAAATGATTTTTGTATTTAAAACTAAGGAAATCTCAACTTTAAACAATGATAATGAAAGAGCATTGATTTCAAAAAAAGAAAAGAAAAAGTAGAGGACAAAAGAAAGACATGTTGTGACTTGGGGTGGCAAGTACCCAGCCTCGGCTAACCAACGGCTAATTAAGGTTGAAGCTTTGAGCTCAATTTGTTCTCTTCGATCAGTTTCAGACTTTCACAGCTATAAATGAAATGTTGGGTACATTGATCAATATCTCACTCTTATAAATAGTATTTATTTGTATGTCATGTTCCGTTCAAATTTTATTAAAATGTCACATCACATTTTTGTTACACCAATAAGTGAAAATGGACTGGACACATAGCAGTGCTTGTATGGGCAGCCATTCTCACTCAGCAGCCCAGCGAGAATGACAAGGTGTTGACACATGGCAAAAATACATGCATTCTCGTTGTGCAGTCCAGCGAGATTAGCCATTTGGACAACTTTTACAGATGTAGCAGTCTGCCACATTGACCAGCCATTCTCGTTACACAGCTCAGCGAGAATGACGGCTTATGCAGACCTTGTCACGTGTCCAGTTCATTCTTGCTTGTTGGAATGTGACGTGACATTTTAGTAAAATTTGATTGAAACATGGTATATAGATAAATACTATTCATAAGAGTGGCATACTCATCAATGTCACTTGTTAATCTAGACCTATGTGAGAAATCACCCAGCAATTTCTATTTTTTTTTTTTAAAGACAATAAATAAGGAAAGCATGAAGCTGAGAAATGGACTAAATGTTTGTAAAAATTGTTGGGGAACCAAGCGTAAGTTCATACTTTTTTATATAATGTAAAGTGGGCATGAAAACTTAAACAGCCTAAATTGCGCATTGGGTATACATACCACTATCATTGCCCCAAATTTTGTTATCTACACATTTTTACCCCCTTGTCGCATGCTCGGGCATGCAGTGAAAAAAAAAAATTGATACACATGCATGATGCTAAATGAAGAGTCTTCTGATAAGAATTTGTACAAACACCTTACAAGTTTGTGAAGAAAAACTGTACTCAATTAATTTAATAAATAAGTTGCAATTATTGTCAAACTAGGATACGAAGAAATATTAAATATAGAATGTGATTCATGTAACCAACAGAACTAATTAGGACAAGACCGTGAAGTTAAAAGGATGATGGCAGTGATAATGATCAACTGAATATTAAATGTTACATATGAACTCATATAAATCATTAAAAATGTAAATAAGTAAGACAAGTCATTTAGGATATGCAGTCAGCAGTACTGTGATCACACAATAAATAAGATATATATTTAAAAACAGAAAGCAAGCCAATCGGTCCAAGCCAGGAAAGAAGACGGCGCAGAGTTTATCTCAAAGCTAAATAACTTTGTACCAAAGAAGAATTAAGAAGAAAACAAAAGAAAAGAGGTTAACATTCACAAGGCACTGGTGGAAGAGCACTATTTGTTGAATCGGACCCATTGAGTTTTAGATATAAAGCTTCAATTGAGAAGTTGAGTCAGACCCCAAAAACCACCATATAGGATCTCCCATAACTTAAAAGCCAATGAATGCATGCATATCTCAAGGCACACCCTTCGAAGAAAAAACTCCAATAATCTCCAAGAAATATAAATTCCAGGCCTCCAGCAAGCTATTCTCAATGAATCCCCACAAAATGTTAGATCATATGGAATATTCTCTTTCGTCAGAAACTTACAGCAGCACAACTCAACCAGCAGCCACAAAAAAGAAGGGGAGCAAAAACAAAAGGTTTAGCGACAAACAAATCAAATCATTGGAATCTATGTTTGAGACAGAGCCGAGCCTCGAACCTATAAAGAAGTTGCAGTTGGCAAGAGAGCTTGGGTTGCAGCCACGACAGGTTGCTATATGGTTTCAGAACAAGAGAGCTCGATGGAAGTCAAAGCAGCTTGAGCAAGACTACATCATACTTCGAGCCAATTATAACAATTTGGCTTCACAATTTGATGCTCTCAAGAAGGAGCATCAGGCATTGCTAACACAGGTACTTTAACAATAAAATTTGTTAGTTCGTTTGGACACCACTATATACAATTCTACTCATTTCATATTAGAGGCTAATGATTGTAGTTTTCGATTTTCAACAGTTGCAGAAGCTGAATGATCAAATACAAAATCCACCAGAGCAAACTCATAGTTGTAGACAAGATAAAGCATCGAACTGCAGCATGGACAACGAAACAGAAAATGGAGACACCATCAAAAGTGAACCGGAGGTAAAGCCATGCCCGTCAACAGAAAGATCAGAATACTTTGGTCTGGAAGATGAACCTTCCCTTCTGAACTTTGTTGAGCATTCTGATGGTTCTTTGACATCACCAGAAGATTGGGGTATGTTTGATTCATATGATCTCTTAGGCCAATCAACCAGTGATTATCAATGGTGGGATTTCTGGTCCTGAATGAAACAGAACAAACAAAGAAGTGCAACAGAAATGTATGTATATGTTGTCATAGTCTTTCTCTTGTTGAACAAGTTGGCATAGCAAAATTCAAAGGCCACGCGAAAGGAGACATTATTTTGTTCTGTAAACCCATCAGTCTAGGAAATGAGTATGCATTTTCGGAGTCAGGATAGAGAAACTTTTTTGTACACTGAAACAGTTAATGTGCATGAGAGAGATCAAGAATCCAACATAACTAACAGAGCCATCAACAGCTACATGTCTCCATTCAAACACAATCTGTAGTTGGTAATACGCCAAACAATTGTTAACACCTATCTATCAGTGATTTGTCATAAAAGATACTCCAACCAAATGGCTATTCTAAATTTACAATATTATATGTAAAACCAATTCTCAATTCTTCAATTAAATGCGGATCTAAATATCATTGAACCTTGTAAAATAGCAGAAAGTTCTTGAATGCTATTTTTCTGAGCTTCTCAAAGTTACAGTTCAAGTGTTTACCTAGCAAATAGAGTAGTCTGAAGAATGAAAATGTTTATTTTTAAATGTGTACTCAAGTTGCCCGGAACCAAATATAATGAAGGGTAAATTATGCATTTTTCTCCTATGATTTAACTCATTTTTACACTTTTTTTTCGCATAAAATTTATTTTCTAATGCATAATGCCTCTAAATTATGGTAAAAATTGTAACCTGGTATTTTCCGTCACATTTAACAGAGACACTTTGCACTTAAAATGTATATGAGAAGTCCTAACAGTGTTTACAAAATTTTATCATTAAATTTGATTTAAAAAAATACAAATTTACACTTTTATTTGCGTTTGGGTTTGTTATATGTAAAAAAAAAAAATGAAGTTTATATGTGAAAAGCAAAAATTTATTAAACCAGGCGTAATATATCCTAAAATGTATTCCGAGAAACTATAGGAATTGATTGAATCACATTTTGCCTTTTAATTTATTTCCCCTTCTAATCAATGCTAAAATAAGAAAAAAAAATATTCGAATTCATTGAAGGCAAAGCTTAGTGTAAATGCGGGGCATAAAATTAAACAGGAAGTCAAACAGAATGCAAACATGAAATGATGATAATGATTTGGGAAAATGGCAGCTTTGTTTTTATTTTAATTTTTTGGGCACAGTGGAGAGCCAGGGGCCCAAAAGGAGAAATCTTAACCAAAATTAACAAAACGGGCCAAAGAGGCCCTATAAAATCAGCCAACGAAAAAATAACAATTTTGCGTTGCTCTTCGAGTCTTCGTCTTCTTCCCACTCCGATCTGAGCAACCTAACATTTTATTTAAACTACTTTCATAATTTTTTAGTAGTGCAGTTTTAACTGGTCTATAGATGATCCATTTTGTCATCTTACTCAATTAAGAAAATAAAATCAAATAAAATAGCAAAATAGAATACTTTTTATTACTGTCTGAATTCAAGAATATTAAATAACAAAAACAATATTGTTATTTAAATTTTTAAATGATACAAAATGAGACCTAAAAAATATGTAAAATTTTTGAGTTGCATTAAGTTTTTGCCTACATAAAAAATATTTGTTAATAATGGTCCAATTCGCTTTCTAACCTCATTGGAGCAATTGCCTTCTTTTTTTGTTTTTTTTAGTACACCAGTAATTGCCTTTAAAGCAGTAGATTTTTAAATTAAATGGGATAGAATTTGTGAGGTTGGCAAAATAGGCCAATCCGGCTCGACCCGATCCAATCTGCATGTAACTCGAAAAAAACGAGTCAGGTTAGAGTTCACTAGAAGAAAAAAAAAACGAGCCAGAAAACTTAACCCAACCCGGGGTTGGCTCGAAAATTGGCTCGCAGGTTGGCTTGAAATTTACTCTCGGGTTGGCTCGTTTTCGAGCTATTTAAATGAATCTGTAGTATTAATGCATTAGCTATGTGGCTTCCATCAGCTTAAACAAGGGTTACAAAATGAGAAATAAATGCAAAATATTTTAGTTTCGAATTTCTTCACAACAAATTTGCACTAACATCAAGAAACAATCAAAAACTTGTTACCAAGAGGGTAAGATAATTGAACCAAACAGAGCCAGCATAACCTAACAATATAAAAAATGATAGAGATGTGAGAAGATTAGGGACTTAGGTTTACAGAAGTAAAAAAGATGATGACAATATGTATATGTTTTGTTCATTTTTGTATATTATATTTTGTATTTTTTATTTAAAAAAACTCAACCCGCGAGCTGTCCCGTTCAACTAGCGAGTTGGCTCGCTTTTCCCCGAGTTGAATTGAGTTGGGTTGGCAGCTCATTTTTGTCAACTCAATCAACTAATCGGCTCGTTTTTGCCAACTCTAAGAATTTGATTTAAAATTTTTACTTTTCAATTGAACGGAACATAGTATGGGCTTATGATTAGGCCTATCAAAGCAATTTCGAACGCTGGATGCTCAGTAATTGTAAATGTCGGTTAGGCCTTTTATCTACTGCATTGGTTATAGAATCAAACATAATGGGCCTGTCAGCATTTCTCTTTGTGGACGCTGTGATCCCCCTCTTTCGGAGAATGTCGTGTTTTTCCATTAAATTGCTTGGTTTATCATAAATTAATATAATGATTTTATAAGAGTTATGTTATAGGAAAAGTGATTGTGTAATGTTATAGAGATTCATTTTGCGTGCCATAATTTTTTTTTTTTTTTTTTTTTTTCAAAAAGTGTGAGCCCCACAAAATGTTGTGTGTGTAGAAAAGTTTGTTGTGTCATGTTAAATGACAAATGTAAACCCCTTAATATAAATGGTGATTATATTTATTACTGAAAAATTTTATAACTCTTACTACTAAATTAATTAATCTAACCGTTATAATTTATTGGATATATTTATTAATTAATTGTTAATTTTTAATAATTTATAACCGTTAAATTAGCAGAAATTAACAGTGATTACTTTAGTAATAAAAGTTGTAAAAAATTTCAGTAATAAATATAACCTCTCCTATTAATATATCACGTATTGGACCACAAAAATTATAAATTGCATGCTTTGAGTTATACTTTTGCAATAATTAAAATGTTAGAGAAATATAGATGCCTTTGTTTAGTAGAGGAGATTTTTTTTTTATCCGAGAATCACGATTTTCAAGAATATGATAGGTAGATGAGTTTTCTGAAAATGTTAGCAAAAAAATGGTTGGTAGACTAAAATATTCTCGAGAATATTAGATTAATTTTCTTAATGTTATGTTTAGTTGTATTAAAAAAAATTTTGCCATAGAAATCCAGAAATACCACCTCTTGGATGGTATTTTCAAAAAAATTTACACATAAAATAAAATTTCAGAAAAATCAGATTTCCGGAAAATTTTAAAAAACTTGTACCAAATATGAGTAAATATGATTATCACACTCAGTTCCCAAAAAATTCTAAAAAATACCTCGTACCAAAGAGCCCTCCTAATCATGACGAAATGGCATGAAGATATTACCGTAGAATTATCAGGAATATGCAGTGGTACTAAGCATATTATGACTTTGCTCAAACGGGAAGTTGCCGTCGAAGTTTCACAACATAAAAATAAGTCGAAATGTCACTATTTTTCAAGTAATAAATTAAGTGGGAGAAACAACAACGAGACTGCCAATACCCACTTGCCTATTGCCCTGTTTCAATATAAAAAGAGGACAATTGTTACTAGTTTGTGCACTGCATTTCGCGTCTATTTTATCTCACTTTTTAAAAAGTGATAACTAAAATACGCTACTTGCTTGTTAATTCACTACAGTACACATAAGTAAGGCAATTTTAAACTAAAATTGTCTTTAAGGTACATAAATGGGGATGTATTTGCTTACTAGAAAAAAATAATATCTAAATAATGAGCTATAAACACAATTTTTAACACCACACACACACACACACATATATATATATATATATAGGATAATATCAATTTACACCCTGTAAAAATAATAAGTTTACCAATAATCTTAATTGATTTATATATATATATATATTAATCACATGAGTCGATAAATACGAATAGAACTTATAGGGATGTAAAATAATGTGATTTGTATAGATGGATCAATTAAAGCTGGAAGGGACATATTTGGCGGGTTGCATCATAAAAGACCAAATCTGCGGATTACAATAGCGACTTAAAATAAGATTCGAAATTTGGCCTCCTTCGTTCCCATCTCAACTGCGATGTTCTTGTCTTGATGCATGTCCCTTTCCTCCTCTTTCTATACTTTTTTCTCCTGAACTTCCCATTGACTCTTCTTCCCTGTTCAATTTTTATTTTATTTTATTCAAGTTTTTCAAAGATCCCAATCATGACCAATCAAATTATAATTAAGCATTAAAAAAATGACAAATGTTCCATGTTATGCTATTTTAATTAATAAATCTCTATTCACATATACAGTACCAAGCAGGTCACAAGAAATTTGCAGGAAACCTCCGTTGTTAATTAATATAGATAATCTATTACATGCATGCACAAGCAGATTTATGTATATATATTTTTCATCCTGGACTTGGAAAATTCATAAAAGTTTTAATTCTATAGATATGGAGAATATCTCTTTCATCCTCATCCAGTACCGAAAAGAAATTAAAGTTAAAAGATAAAGAGAGTTTGTTAGCTCCTTAATCTTCGTTTAGTAATTAACACATTGAAACCAGGATGCGATTCCTGTCTAACCAATAATCAACTCTGTTTTTTTTTTTGATATTATAATCAACTCTGTTAATCAACATAAATTGTTCCTTTCATCCTTAGTGAAGATATCCATATCCAAGTTAGTCTGTTAATGTATTGTGCCTTTACAATATAATAACACTAGCTTGATGTGGTTGTACAAATCTTGCATTATAAAAAACTTTCAAAAGGAAATGTGTGTTTGTTAAAATGAAAAGGACAACAAACTACTAAAGTTGTTGATCTGATTACACCATACAAATATGCAGAGGTAACCTATGCGCATGCCGTGCTTAGGAAGATTTAATAAATGGGACAGGGTT